ATTAGTATGGGGCAGAACCAAGTGTCCTTTATAGAGAGGTGTCCTACTGTCCTTTAGTCGGAGGGTCCCTTTTTCAGAGCTTTTACCGTATGCACTATTACTGACAGGAGCAGAGTCAAACTCACCTCGTCATGTATTCGCTCTCGGGATGAACCGTCATTTCGTGACGTTTGAATTCGTTCAATTCCTTTCGGATGGCCGCCTTGTCTTCGGGGCGTAACCTGATCCAGGGCTTGTCGGCTCTGCGGAAAAGTCACGGTGAAAAAAGTAATTCACTAATGAAGACCAAAGAAGCTCATGCAAATGAATATTGAAGAAGTAAAATTCACTCATGCAAAATAATGAAAAGTGAAAGTAGATTATGTGTTGTACCTTCTGTCGTAGTCTTCACATTCAATGACTTCAGCATAGTCAGCAAAATGTCTGCAAGATTACGAGTAGGAACATGGTCTATTGGTACATGAAATGTGAAATGAAAGATAATACTGTATGTATATAATATGTATGTATGATGCCAAGAGAAAAAAGATGGGGAGCTCTGGACAGCTGTTTCGGGCTTGTTATTAGCCCTCATCAGCAGAGCATACCGCAACTTCTCTCTCTGGCATGTACGTTGTTGATTAATGTTGGAAAGATAATTAATGTATCATACACTGTGTGGAAGGAGTTGTTACTCACTGCATCCTATTATCCGTGAAATGTGAAATGAAAGATAATACGTATGTATGTATGTACGTTGTTGATTAATGTTGGAAAGATGTGGAAGGAGGTGTTACTCACTAGTATCCGTGACATGCAAGTAGATCTCTAATATAAACGGAATTGGATTCAATTTAAGGGGGTCGGGGGCCCTCTCACATTAAAATCATACGTTCCCTCAGTTCCTTGACCGTCGGTCGTCTGCTGAGCTTCCTCTCCAACAACGCCTTTATCTCTTCAAATGTCTCCTCCTTTTTCCTGCGGTCCTCCTATTTATGGCAAAATTTCGTAATAGATGGTTAGTTGTTCCAATTATAGTAACAGAATGATGTATGTATGGCAACAATGTGAACAGAGTGAGTCTGTTGTGAAAGATAATATTGTAGGTTAGTGGAATCATACATCATAATTACATCATCACTTACAGGAATTATGTTCCTCTCCTGGAGTTCGTTTCTGCTCGGTCGCTGACTCAGCTTTCTGATCAGATTACTGGCAGCACTGTCTCTTACCGACTGTGGTTGGACTGTGATGACATCATAATGACGTCATCGTAATTACGTCAGCACGACGTAATGTATATAGCTCACTCTCAATGTCCATTCTGTCGTGCGTTCTTTTGAGCCTTAGAAGAGCGATGCTGTCTGACCTGATGACTTTATTCCCAAACTCTGTTATGCGACGAAGAAAAAGAGAGAGATAATTATTATAATTATTATTACAGCGAAAAACGACCCTGCATAATATGTAAACCTCACTTGTTTATAAAGAACACTTGGGGTTATATTCTATATTATACCCCTGAACAAGGCCTCTAAGCTATAAAATTTTTGTTGTCTCGAGTTTTCAAAAGAATGAAGGCAATAAACTCACTGAGGACTTGATCTTCAATTCCATCATCTTCATCATAGTACTCTGGACTGTCTGTTTCATTAGAGCTACCTGTAGATCACGTGACGTCGTGTGAGGATCGTGTGACGTGATCACATGACATCATGTGATGATCACGTGACCTAACGTACCTTCTTCATCGCTGCTGTCGTCGTCGTCCGGAGAGTAGACGACGTATTTGCTGGAGTCTTTGTATTCCTTCTTGTTCCTTCGTCTCTCAACTGATCCTTGGAACTGTGGGCCAAACCGTTGACAGAGTAAAGAGAACTCTTCTTACACAGTGTTGCAGCGATTTATAAAGTATTGGTATAATGGGCCTACATAGGCAATATAGACAAGCCACCTTTTTCATACATGTCGGTTGCCTAGGGATATCCAACAAAGGCTGATAAAATCCCCCAGTACTTAGCTTCATACATGTCGGTTACCTAGGGATATCCAACAAAGGCTGATACAATCCCCCAGTACCTAGCTTCATATATGTCGGTTGCCTAGGGATATCCAACAAAGGCTGATACAATCCCCTAGTACCTAGCTTCATACATGTCGGTTGCCTAGGGATCCAACAAATAAAATGCTCTGCAGCAGCATGTATGCTAAGTAATATCGCTTGCATGAAGAAATCACACACAACACTAATTACCGCAGCTCTGGTCGGTGTACTCTCCCTGACAGGGGGCGTGGTCTGTCTCTGGTGGGCGGAGTCTTCCTCGTACTGAGCCGAAGTCTTCAGAATACTTCGAGGTGGCGCCGGAATAGTCGTTGCCTGCACGAGGAGAGAGAAATCACCGTGTAATGCAGTTTCTATTCGTTCAGCTAGTGATGTATTACTGTAATACCAGCTACAGAACAGACCTAGAAAAATTCTTCTTTTAAACCGACTCTATTATATACCCTTCTCTCCCTTTCTTCAAACTCCATTCTCTTATGTATGTATGTATGTATGTATTGTATCATCTCGTTCTTCTTTTCCATCTCTGTCTTCCTCCCTCTTCAGTTCGTACACCTTACACAAGACACTCTCTTTTCTCCTTCACCTCTCCCTCCTCTCTCTCTACTCTCTCTACTAATCTTCGTCCTCACCTCGGCCAGAAAAGCCACCCTCTTGTCCTGCGGCTGCTGTTGACTGCCGTTGGCCGCGGCCCAAGCTGCTTGCTGCTCCTGACTCACGTTAGCTCCCATCATGCGCACACTCATGTCTCGTCCGACGACACCGCTACCTTCAAATCCCTCCGGAATGCTACCTACCGGTACAGCTCCCCACGGAGTAGGACTGAAGAAGGCGTGGTCGCCCGGCGGGAAATTCCCGGGGGCCGAAGAGGTGCTGACGCGAGGGTGGTTGAGGTGGTGGTGGTGGGGCGAGGGGAAGGGGTACGAGGAGGCGTCGCTGGGATCGTGAGGTAGAGAGGCACTGTGCGTGTGGACGATTGGAGAGTGAATGTAACTGTAACCTGGAGTAAGGGGAGGGGGGGCGTTAAATAGAAAAGAATCACAACACGTTTGACTACACTATTCTTACGATTTAGCAATACATATACACTGACACACAAACTCTGTTGTTACATCTTTAAAACCTACA